GAGCTGAGCAGCGTGGGCGAGCAGGTCTTCGCCGCCGAGTGCATCCTGAGCAAGCGGCTCCGCAAGGTGCGTGCGGCCCGACCCGCGCCCCGCGCCCGCCTGCCCGCCCGCCCCGGCTCACGCGCCTCTTCTCTCCCTGCAGGGCAAGCTGGAGTACCTGGTCAAGTGGCGCGGCTGGTCCTCCAAGTGAGTCCCCAACAATGCGGCGCCCGCCTTCCCGCCCGCGCGAGCTCGGCCCCGGGGGAAGGGGGGAGGGGGTGGTGTGGGGACCCTCGGCCGCGCCGGCGCGGGGGGAGTCCGTGCGCAGGGCGGGAAGTTCGCGGGGTCCCCGTGGGCTCCTCGGGCTCTGCGGGGAGGGGGCCTCCAGCCTGCGCGGGGCTGCCCTTTGTTTACAAGCTGCCCCGGAACCCCCTCCGGCCGCGGCCCAGCCCCGCTCCCGGCGCCCCCGGCCGCCTTTCCCGGCGCCCAGCCCGCTTCCCTCCTGCGCCGCACGCTCCTCCCGCGCCCATTTGTTGCATGCGCCCCGCCTCGGCCCTCCTCGCGGGCCGCGATCCCCCTCCTCTTGTCCATATTTTCCTCGCTGTAACCTGAGCTTTCTATTGATGGATGTAGGGTTTTTTTTTTTTCTTTCAGTGGAAGGGAGGGGACTTGGCATCTCCGGAAGGGGCTCTGTTTACAGTGGCTCTCGCAGACCCGTTTCCCCCTTTTTCCCCGACCCCACTTTTTTCTTTTGCTTTCCCCTCCCGATGCCCCGTCCCGCGCTCGCTTGGGCGCCAGCCACATTGTTCTTAATCTTGGGGCTGGGCTTCTGTACCCCTCGGCCTCCCTCTCCCTGCATCCTGGACGAGCCTTCCCTTCCCTCGCTGGCTCCGGGCCAGGGTTTAGGGGCTTCCCTCTCTGCAGTTTTCCATTTGATTGGAATTTGTTTTCTTCCCCAGGGAGACTTTGTCGTCCTCCTGAGGCCGTGTGTTAACTGGGGAGTTAAGGTGGCAGTATCCCTTTGAATTGAAGGATAGATAAGGTGCTGGCTCAAGGGCCCCGGTCTCCAGGAACTCCTCCTGGGTGTGGGTGGGACGTCTCTGACTCTGCCGCAGCCACTCAGTCCCCCTGCCATTAGCAGGGATTGGAGAGCCGTGGGGCAGCCCCATCTGCTGCTCCCTGGAGCGGCCGGTCACTGCTTGTTTCACCACGCTTGCTCTTTGCTTTTCCAGACACAACAGCTGGGAGCCAGAGGAGAATATCCTGGACCCACGGCTGCTCCTGGCCTTCCAGAAGAAGTGAGAAAGTTCCCAGCGTGTGTGGGAAGGGGAGAATGTGGGGGGAAGGTGGCCAGTCATACAGGGCGGTTCTGGTCCTCTGGGGTCCTGGGCTTGGGCTGTGGTCTGAGGTCCTGGAGCAGCTGTCGCCAGGGCGTCCTGTGCCGTGGCCATCTGTGAAGGTGGAGCAAGCTTTGAGGTCCGGAATGAGTCCCTCCCCCACCTTCTGGGGCCGGCGGGTGCTGTGTCCAGACCTAAGGAGGCACTGAGTGCTGCTTTTGGTCTTTCTGACAGCCGTCCTACAAAAATGAATCTTCTTGTTTCCTTCGTGAAAAGTTCTGGCTTCTCTTCTTAGCCTTTTCTGTTGACTAATTTGCAAACAGCACTAATAAAAACCAGGATGGCAGGTTTGCCATAAAAGTGCAGACCTGGTCTCCCAGCCCTGCGGGAGGATGCCATTGAGCAAGAGAAGGCTCAGAGAGGGAGCTGGAACACACAGCACGAAGTTATGCTTATTATGGTCTGTCTGTACCAAGAGAAACACATTTATTTTTCTCTGGGCTGCAAAACAGATGGTACTGAGTGAGCACCGTGGGGCCCCTTTGCCAGTCTCAGGGGCTGAATTTGCTTCTGTAATTCTAGATGCCATTTCTATTTTTAGTTAGGAGACTTGGGTTAAAGGAGGCCTCCTTGAGATACTCAGGGAAAAGAGTGGTGAGGGGCGGGCATGGATGGGCCACCCCATCCCAGTGTGAGAATCCGAGCAGTGCTGTTGCAGGACATGCTGGCGGGGGTGAGGTGTGGGTACTTTGCTGGGGACTGCCCTGGTGATGGAGGCAGGTATGTTAGTTGCTCAAAAGCTTTCCCAGCTGGAGTCAGTGTAGTCAGCTTATTCTCTGGTAGCTCAAGCTAGGCGCACTTTTTTTCACTGTAGCAGGAAATTTCGGGTCTTCTCAGAGGGGCCATGACAATGGGGAAAAAGTGAAACCAGGTTTGGGGCAGGGAGAGACAATGAGGTGAGCGTGTGCTTGCTTCAGTCCCTTCGGAGAGTCTTGTCAGCAGCCTTCTTCTCTGCTGTGTGATTCATGACTCGGGTCCTGTAAGCCTTGGGAGGCAGGGAACTGGTAATTTCTCTGCCAGGCAGTGTCCTGATGCTGTGGACAGGACTGTGTCCTTAACTTGCTTTTGCTTATAGCACAACAGACAAGAAGTGGGGTTAGCAAACATCCAGGGAGGGAAGGGTTAAGAGAAGAACCAGGGGGTGGTCTGGATTACATCATGGGGGGAGGAAACCTGAGAGGTGGATGCTTTGCTTTCTGTCACCCACCAAAAAGATCCCACTGGGAACTAGGAGCTGGCAGTTACTTGCTGCAGGGGAGGCTTTGAGTGTAAGGTGGGGGGGTCTCAGGTTAGCCCGCAGGTACAGGTGACTGTGGCACTGGGGGGACCCGTGAGATGCTCCTGTCCTTGTAGGAGACGAGCAGGTTGGGGGCTCTCTGGAGTATGAGTTCTGCCTGGTTGTACTAATTGGATTCTTTAAGAGATCTCCTTCCAAGTCCCAGTGAGATGATGTGGCCCATTTTAATTACCAGGAAACTCCTCCAGATAGATCCTCTTCCCCAGGGGGTAGCCTGAAATACAAGCTTTCTCTGCGGGGCTGGGGCAGTGCTCTGGGCTTCATGACCCCAAGTCCCAGGGGCTGGTTAATGGTGTCCTGCAGGTGATGCGGGCTGTGAGCCTCAGCCACTTCAGAATCAAGCACCTCCAACACTTCCATCTAGAGCAGAGTCTAGGGACAGAGGGGTCTTAGAGAAAGGAAACTGAGTTTGAAATGTGAGCCAGGGGCACTGGCTACGGGAAGGTGGAGTGCAGAACGGGACTGGAGCCCTTGGTCCCCTGGCACTCTTTGGACTGGGGAGATTTTGTGTGGGCCCTGGAGAGGCAGGGGCTGGGGGCAGTGGTCCTCGCTTCCCTGCCCTGGACTCTTGTTTGAAGTGAGGGGTTGGAGCATGTGACCACAAAGGCTCCTTCTAGTTGTGGCATTCTGGAATTCCCAGGAAACACTCTACCTGCAGAAAGTGGCCTGGATTAGCACCGTTTTAAGTGGAGTTGGAGAAATTGGAGAACTGTTCATTTCCTAGCTTTGCTAGAGTTTCTTTGACTTGTCTTTACCCAAATACAAGTGAAATAGATGGTTAGGAACATATTACTGACACACATTGCAAAGGAGGACCACTGCCTTGGATGTGTCAATAATAGGATATGTTTTTGCAGTGACACTGATGGTAAACTACAGGGGCCGGAGTGTCCAGGGATGTTTGAAGCTGTGGGGTTCCCCTGTGGCGGGAGGGAGGGTCTGTGCACGGGGCTTCTCCCCCATCACTGGTGACTGTCTTCAGGGAACACGAGAAGGAGGTGCAGAACCGGAAGAGAGGCAAGCGGCCCAGGGGTAGGCCGAGGAAGCACACAGTGATGTCCTCCTGCAGCCGGCACTCCAAGCTCAAGGTGGGTACCAGTGGCTCCTTACCTTCCAGTGCTCGCTCTGGGCAGACTGGAAGGTGGTGGAGGGAGGTTGAGGGCTTTGGGGAGTGGGGGCAGGGCTGGCACTTCCGAGGAAGCCCCCCTTGCTCCGAAGACCCTGGCCTTGTGCCTCCTTGCTTGCTGCTGCTCTCAGCCCTAGAGTTTCCCCTTCTGCCCCTAGGGCCCTGCAGTGGCCAAGCCCTTCCTCGCTGGTTTCTTCTTCCTTTGACATCCTTTCTGCACTCCTTTCTACCTGATAGCAGGGTCAAATGTGACTGTTGACCGTTGCTCTTTCTCACGCCTAGTGGCTTAGGGGGAACAGAAAAGAACAGGAAGCTACACACAGTAGGTTCTCATAGGTTTGCCAGGTAGACACAACTAACAGGGCAGCCCACAGGTACGCACACACCTGGGGTCCGTGGCACCGCCCTCCCTCCCTCTAACAATTCAGAGGCAGGGTGGGGAAAGGGGTCCCGGGCTTGGTCCCGGATGTGTCTTTGATTCCTTTCTCAAGGACACTGCCCCGGAACCCTGACACACGCTGCGGCCAAGAGCTCAGTCAATTATGAAAACCTCCCTCCAGGAGGCTGTGGGGACCCTGCCTTAAGTCTTGTTGGCCTAGTGTACACTGGCCTCATTTTGTCTTCAAAACCTTCCTTTTGAGCAGGACATGGGGGCTGCAGGAGTCCCGCTGACTGCGTGAGAACGTGGGTTATTTGCATTGAGAGGTGGCAGTGGGGCCAGCCGGACCAGGACACCCTGAGACTCCACGTTTGATTCGATCATCCCCAGTTCAAGGCAGCCCAGCTTTGTGGCAGGAAGCTGGGTGTTAACTCTGTGTCCCTATGACCCAGCGGGCAACACAGGGACCTGAGAAACAGGAGGGTGCAGTGCACTTAGCATTTGGGGTGACGCCTAGAAAGGGGAGAGAGCAGTGGTTTGTTTTCCTGTGTCCTGGAATGTTCAAAAGGGGTCTGATTTGGAAATGAAGAGATTGAAGCAAGATGTCACTTGCTTTAGGTTACAAGGCTCTTGTGCACACTGCTTCATTCAACTCAGAGTCTCATAAGACAGGCAAAATGTGCTGCTCTGAGAGCCTCGGTCTGCACCATGTCCCCTTGACAGCTGCTGATGTGTGCTTTTCCCTCATTGCTCTGACTTCACTTTACCAACCACCTGTCTTTCTTTCTCCTATCCTACCTTTAACTTTGCGTGTCATGGTGCCTCATAAGGACCTTTTAAATGCTTTGGGAACAAGGTGGTGCGAATTGCTCCTTCCTGGCTGCACCTAGTCTGGAAGTCACAGGAGGGGCTGGCCTCCAGCCTGCTGATGCCTCTTGGGAAGTGTGCACTTGAGACCCTGGGGATCGCCATAGAAGTGGTGACACCTTCCTCTTTGTCTTTGCAGGAATCTGACGCCCCCTCCAAATCCAAATCCAGCAGCTCCTCCTCTTCCTCCACATCTTCCTCCTCTTCCTCAGATGAGGAGGATGACAGCGACCTAGATGCCAAGAGGGGCCCCCGGGGCCGTGAGACCCACCCAGTCCCCCAGAAGAAGGCCCAGATCCTGGTGGCCAAGCCTGAACTGAAGGATCCCATCCGAAAGAAGCGAGGCCGCAAGCCCCTGCCCCCAGAGCAGAAGGCAGCCCGAAGACCAGTGAGCTTGGCCAAGGTGCTGAAGACCGCCCGGAAGGACCTGGGGGCCCCAGCCAACAAGCTGCCCCCTCCTCTCAGCGCCCCTGTGGCGGGCCTGGCAGCCCTGAAGGCCCATGCCAAGGAGGCCTGCGGTGGCTCCAGCACCATGGCCACCCCAGAGAACCTGGCCAGCCTGATGAAGGGCATGGCCGGCAGCCCCAGCCGGGGCGGCATCAGCTGGCAGAGCTCCATCGTGCACTACATGAACCGGATGAGCCAGAGCCAGGCCCAGGCCGCCAGCAGACTGGCACTCAAGGCCCAGACCGCCGGCAAGTGCAGCCTCGGGCTGGACCTCAAGGTGAGGACGCAGAAGGGGGAGCTGGGGATAAGTCCCCCAGGAAGCAAAGTCCCAAAGGCCCCTGGCAGCGGGGCTATGGAGCAGAAAGGGGGAAGCGCAGGGGGTTCCCCACACATCCACAGCAGCAGCAAGATCCCTGCTGGGTGCCTGGGCCCCCAGCCTGCACCCACCCAGGAGCTGAGCCTCCAGGTCTTGGACTTACAGAGTGTCAAGAACGGCACACCTGGGGTCGGCGTGGTTGCTCGCCATGCTACAGCCACCAAGGGCATCCCTGCTACTAACCCAGCCACTGGGAAGGGCGCCGGGGGTGGCTCCACCATGGGGAGTGGGGCCGGCATGTCCACTGACACCAGTAAGAGTGAGAAGCTGGGCTCCAGGGCAGCAACTCTGCCCAGCCCTGCAGGCAAGAGGGACTGTGTCAAGGGCAGTGCAGTCCTTGGTGGGCAGGAGGGCCACACAGCCTCTGGAGAAGTGCGCAAAGCGGCCGCGCTGTCAGAGATGAGCACTGGCGAGGAGAACAGCAGCTCTGACTCAGACCCCGACTCTGCCTCGCCACCCAGCGCTGGACAAAACCTCTCCGTGTCTGTCCAGACTAGCCAGGACTGGAAGCCCACTCGAAGCCTCATTGAGCACGTCTTTGTCACCGACGTCACTGCCAACCTCATCACGGTCACAGTGAAGGAGTCCCCCACCAGCGTGGGCTTCTTCAACCTGAGACATTACTGATGCCCTAAGGCTGCCAGGTCTAGCCTGCCATTCTCTGGCTTTTGATAAGTGACCTGCACCCCAGACCCTCTCCAGGGGCCAGGTGGCCTCATTCAAGGGCAGGCTTGGAAGGGACTTTTCCTGGACCCCGGCCCTGCCTGTGACTTCTGGCAGGAGTGGTACCTTGATGCCTTGCTGGGCCCAGCCTTGCCCTTGTTCCTACCTCTGGGCCTTCACTTCGCTTCCCATTTGCCTCAGGAAGTCTGGGTGGCCCCCTGTGGCTCTGACCGAATGTTTCTCAAGCCCCTCCAGTGGTTGTGCTGTTGGAACTGCCCGCTCTGGCCTGTGATGACAGATTGGTGGTCACCTTCCTCCCCGTTTCCCAGGGGCACAGGTGTTAGAGGAGGGAGCTCCTCCTGGTCCAGTTTGGCTGTTCCTGCCCAGCAGTGGGGAGAGTGGATTGCGGGGTGGGAGAAAGCAGGGCCTTGGGGGACTGCTCCAGGGAGGGCTCGATGAAATTTTTAGAAGATGGGGTGGGGGGAGCAGGGACGGGGCTGGACGGTGCGAACTACCCCCTTCAGAGCAGTGCCTGAACTGACCAAGGTGAGGTGACTGTTCGTCTCCCCATCCCTGCCCCCACCCTGGACAGCTGAGGCTATGGCCTTAATGGAAAAAGATAGGTGCTGGCAGTAGGGGGATCAGGAACCCTAAAGAGGTTGGTTTGGGTGCCATCCAACCCTGGTTGAGATTAACAACTGCAGCCCCCAAACATTGACCCAGACGTCCAGCAGGGGCGGGGAAGGGCTGGTCCCAGAGCTCTTTCACCTGAACAGCGTCTGCATTTGGGAAGCAGGAGAAGGGTGTCGTTCTGCTGCCTGCCTTTTGCCAGCCTGTGCAAGGACCACCTTAGTCCTAATCGTGGGCCCACACACTGCCCCCAGGAGCCCCTGGAACGTGGGTGTGTGGGCAGTTGCTGAAAGTAGATGCACCCTCACACCATCTGCTGGCGTCCAGCTGTCGTGCTGGTGTTGGCTGCAGATGCCCCCACAGCGTCTGCCCAGGTGGACGGGCACCACCTTCCCCTGACAATCCCCCCACCTTTGGGGGTTCCATGTTCTGCTCCTTCCTGGCTGAGAAGCTGTATCCTGGTACCATTTGGGAAGTGGGACAGAATCTGAGCAACCTGCCTCACAGTGGGTCCCTGGAAAGGCCAGATCTGCCAACCCGACCGCCTCCTCGCAGTGGGCTGAGTCTGGGAGCCGTCTGTGTGGTTCCTGACCAGAATTGCCTCTATGGGCTTAGGGTGGAGAGGTGGGTCAGCGAGGGGTCACTGGGTCTTTGTGATGCCAAAAAGAAAAGTTGGGATGTGGGGGACTCTTTCTCCTTCAATTATTGGTTAAAGTCAGCCGCAGACCTGAGACTCTTTCTGTATCCCCTAGACTTGATGCAAGGGAGATCCTGGACTTAGCCAGTGGGCTCTGGTTTCCAGGGGGTGGGCCTGCCAGACCTCCAGTCCCCCCAGTCCCTCACCCTCCACACCAAATAGGAAGAGATGGCTTTTGTGTAGCCAAACTGATTTCAACAGTGTGCCTTTGGGGGCAGATCTGTGTTCAGGACCTTGTCAAGGGGCATCCAGATGCAGCCTCTGGGTCTTGCACATGGTAGCCTTGTTGGCTGCGGCAGGAATGGTGCCCACCTTGGTGGACCCAAGGGCTTGGGGTCCGAGACAACCAGGCTGAAACTGGAAAGTGGGCAGTAAAGGGGAGACTTGCCCCCTGCACTGCGCGGCACAGCCTGGAAGGGATCCTAGCACACTGGACCCTGGCATCAGCCTCCCCTCCTATCCCCAGACACCCAGATGCCCCCTGGGTGTGACTAAAGGGCTCCTCTGGGCTGCCTCTCCCTCAGAGGAGCTGACAACCTCTGGATTTTGCAGTTCCTTTCCTGCCAGGCACCATGCTGCCTTAAAGGCTGCAGTGCCGGGCCAGCAGCAGCTCTCCCCTCTGAGCCCTTGGGGTGACCCTGGGCTTCCACGGGCTGTTGGCCAAATGTGTGTCTGGGCTGACCTGACATCCCCAGCAGCCAGGTCTCCAAACCCCAATTTGGTGCCTTTCTGTTTACCAGCTACTTCAATCCCAAAGTTTGAATCTGCGGACACCTTCCTCCCAGCCACTTTGCCTTCTTGCCGTGTTGTATGTTTTTCTTGGTGCTTGTGTCTCCAAGGGGTTCATGTTTAAAAGGGCGTGTGTGTGTGTGTGCTTGCACACACATGTGCAGGCGTGACAGCCTTCACTGAAGAATTGGACCAGATGCTCAGAGTTGGTCGTCATGTTTACCAATAAATAAAAGTAGTACTTTTTTATTTGCTGCTATGTGTGTGTGTGTGTGTGTGTGTGTGTGTGTGTGTGTGGCTTGGCATCAGTCACACTTCTGGCCTGAGATCCGTGGTTTCTTTATTCTGCAGGGTTTCCTATGTGAGCTGCATCACAGTGTATATTGAATGGGTGTTATAATCCTGTCGCATCTTTCTGTTTGCTTCTGTAATGGATAGGAAGAAGTGGCCAGTCTGTTGTCTTTAGAGGGCTCGGCATATTTTTTATATATTTTTGGTACCAAAAAGAGTGTTCCTTGTTTTGGTTACACTCAAAATTCTGACCTAACAAGGCTCTGGGCCTAGAGGTTTCATTGGGGGAAAACTTGGGGGGAGGACCAGAGCTTTGGACCAGTGCCAATCACTGGCTTGATTTGTGTTTTTTAATTTAAAAAAAAAAAAAGCCAGATCATTCATGTATGCCACTTCTAATTGCTTTAAACTATGGCTGTTAGCTTTCTTGAAAGAACGAAAGTGGGTATGTTATTGCCCTGGGAAACTTCAGATCTTGGTTGAAACAGGACAGCAGCCCAGCCCCCATATTCAATCAGGACCAACCAGTTAAAGGAAATGCCTCCCCCAGGAAGGCCACAGTGGTTGGGGTAAGGGAGTGGGAGGACTGAGAGGTAGTGCCTAGATCACCAGATTTTTGCTCAAGTGCATCTAAAGATTCTGTGGGTTTTCTAGTATTTTTGGAAAACTAACACTAGCAATACGTTGCAGATCTTTTTTTTTTTAGACTGATGTTAATTTATTTTGCAGGGGAAGGACATTAGCAAATGGTGTCAGAAGATTTCTGTCTTTTTGTTAACTCTTAGTATATCAATAAATTTTTTTTTAACTTTAAGCTTGGCTTATGTCGTAAGTGCTGCCCAGAAACACAACAGTCCCTTCACTTTTCCTTTCTTGAGGCAAAAGTCTTCTCTGGATGCAGACTGAATCATGGGATGAAAAAAAGGCTTTGGGAAAGCCCTAGCCACTTTTATGGGGTGTAGAAAAAGGTTTTTTGTACGCAAAGGGGTGGAGTGAGTCCCTAGACCAGCGGTTCACAAAGGGGCGATTTGGCACCCCAGGGGATATTTGGCAATATCTGGAGACAATTTTGGTTGTCACAACTGGGGGACAGAGGTGAGTGTTGCTACTAGCATCCAGAAGGTAGAGGCCAGGGATGCTGCAATCCATCATAAACTCACTTTGAGACATCTCCCAGGAACTGATACTCAGGTGACAACAACCCAAAATTCTCTGCTCCCCCTGCCCCCCATCCAAAGATACTGTGTTGGAAAGCTAGTCACCTCCTTGAATCTGCCACATGTGGTGACACTAAAAGTTCACAGCTATTGGATTCCAGGGGAGTTGCTATGAAGGGCAAGAAGCTTTGAGTCAGTGGAGCTGCTGTGACTGCTCACCCACAGCTCATAACGAAGAGATGATTCGCTTATTGTATAACCTTCCTTGCTCCTTTAAGGTCTGCATTACCCTCAGCATGAATTTATTCACACATTTCAGCCTCCAGGGAGAATGAAGCTCCCTTTGAAGTGAAGAGAGAAGTTGGGCCTAGATGTTGGCCGCCACTAGTTGAAAGGCTAGTTGGGGCGAAGGCCTGAATGTTTTAGTTCAGGAGGAGGTTCCTGCTGCAAACAGAAAAGCAGCCCCTAGTTCCCCAGTTCTATTGAGCTCTGGAAAAGGCCTGCGAATTTGAAATCAGATTCTTGCAGGGAAGACCGCTGGTGTGTTTTCTTTTGTTGGGCTTTCAGAGGCTGGAGCTGTTTTGCTTTGGAGAAGGTGGGCAGAGACAACCTTAGCCCACCTATCCTCGGGCTTTTGAGAGCTGCAGAAAGGGGTTGGGCCAGGAAGGAGCAGGCTAGCGGAGCTGGAGCCGGCGCTGCCCCCGATGGCGAGCCAGGCTTCCGCGGGCAGCCCATTTCTACAGAGACTCGGCCAGACGGGTGCGGGCCCCGGCCCACGCCGGCCTTTGTTAGTTTCTGCGCTGCTGATCTGATCGCCTAATCCACTGCCTTCCCAGAAGAATGGGCTGGGCTGCCAAGGGGCCCGACCTGGCCCGAGGGCCCAGCCCGCGGCCTCCCCGGGCTCAGCCCCGCGCCGCCGGGTCCAGCCCGAGGGCGCCTGGTGCGATAGGTGGAGCCAGGCTCCTAGGAAGAGGATCCGGGCGGCTGGACACCTTCCTCCTCTCCACTCTCCCGGCTCGGGGGTCTGGCCGCAGGGAGGGCACAGAGCGGAGCCCACAGTGCCCACTCTAACGTGCTTTTGTGTGGGAGAGATGCGTTCCCTGCTTCTTTCAGGACCCAGAAAGGCACGGGCAGCCGCGGGAGGGGGTGGGCGCCCGGGAGAGGGGCTGAGGCCATCGCCTCTAGAGGGCGCGCGCGTCCCGCGAAGCTCTGGCCTCTGGCGCTTGGACGAGCAAGGGAAGTTACCCTCCCGGGGCTCTGAGGTGCCCCGGGGAACCGAATTGCACGACCCGACCGCTCCGAGCGGCCCCCAGCAGCCACCGTTTCCGAAGTCTCAGAAGGAGAGCCCCGGCCCCAGCCCATAGCCTCTTTCCCCAGGTCCAGGTCCCCAAGGCTGGACTCCGTGGAGCCCCGCCAAGCACTGAGCTCCCCCATCTCGGACTCCAGCTGGGTCCGAGGCCCCCTCTGGGCCTGGAGGACTTTTTGATGAGAAGAGGAAATCAGAGTATGAGCCCCTAAAGTGCTGGGGCAGCCCTGTTCGCCGGCGGGTCTCCCACGCACAGCGCAGGGCCTCGACTAGGATCGGTGCGCTGTAAGCATCAAAGGGACAGGAAAATAGATACGGTCCGACGCTCTCCGAAGAGCCATAAAGATTCCAGTTCAACCAGTGTGTGTGCTGGGCCAGACTCCGCGCTGGCGGCGACCGCACGAGGCGGCCCTGCCCTGGGGATGCAGGGGAAACGGCCCGGCCCGGAGGCGGCATCGTGCGCCGAGGCCTCCACACCTGGTCGCTTTCCTGGAGATTCTGCCCAGGGAACGGAAACCCGCGGAAGGAGCTCCCGGTCAAAGCCGAGGTTGGTGGTGGTCAGCCAAACGGGGAAAGGGGGCAGAGTCGGCGCCCTCCAATCTCCGTAAGCGCAAGCCCATTCCGCGGCCCAAACACGCAGGAGCCAACGCTGCTCC